TTATCTTATGAAGAAGTACCAGTCGATATCACGGACCGAAAGAGCAGGATACTCCGCAACCATAAAATATCATTTGTAAAGGTAGTGTGGTAGAACCACACGCCAAGGGAGGCTACTTGGGAGCTAGAATTAGATTTTAGAGCCCAGTATCCCCATTTGTTCGACCAATAGTAAGAGTCAAATTTGGGGGACCAAATTTCTTTAAGGGGGGGAGAGTTGTAACACCCAAATTTTATTATTTTATTTTTTTAATTTATTTTAATTTATATTAGAATTTTAGTTTAATTTTTCAATATTTAATTTATAAGGTTTTAATTTAATTTAATTTAATTTAATAAAAGTAAAAATAATAATAATGATAAAATAGGGTAAAATTATTTTTGGGATTTAATTAAAATTAATTTTGAGAAAAAGGGGTAAAAATTTGGATTCTGGGGTGTTTTTGAAAAGAAAATCAGAAATCGGGAGTCAAAACGTAATTTAGGAAAGTTGTTCCACGTCAGCAGCCCCGGCCAACCAGAACACGCCGCGTGACAAGGAAGCTGACACAGGAGGCCATGTGGGACGGAGCCACGTGGGCGATCCGTGTGCATGCGATCGAACGGTCGAGATCTCACGCGTGCGGACGGCCCAGATCTCACCCGCACGGACGACCCAGATCTCACGCGTGCGGATGACCCAGATTGAATCACGCACGGACGGCCCAGATCACACCGTGATGGACGGTCCAGATTTATTCTCATTTTAATCGCGATCAGACGGCCCATATTAAATTGTGAAGGACGGCTGAGATTAAAAGGGAAAGGTTATAAATAACCTCACCCACACCTGACCCCAAACCCTAGCCGCTAGTACCCTCACCGGAGAAGAAGAACCAGTCACTAGAGGAGCCGGCCGCCGCCACTCGCTGCCGCACCGGAGGATTTTTCGACCACCAAACGAGGTAAATTTTCTCCCTTTGGCTCGTTTTTCGATGCTGAATCTACCTATGGCCAAATCAGAGCCAAACGACCGGCTAATCGGCCAGAAAACAACGCCGAAGTCCACCGACGCAGCGGCGGCTTCCCTCAATTTTTTCCTGCGACGAGGCCCTTTTCGGTTCCTGTTCGATGCAATTTTTACACCACTGTGATCACCGTCCTTTTCTCTATAGGTTGACCAGAGCAAAACATCAAATCGTGACTCGCACCGGAGAAGCCGCCGTACCCGAGAGCTCCACCGCTGGTAAGTCTTAGTTTTTTGTTATTTTTTGGCCCACCGAGGGCCCTAGGGTTGTTTTATCACAGGAACCAATGCAAGTTTGGCCGAATTTGGCTGAAAATGGCCAACCCGAGGCAGATTGCCACCGCGGGCGGCGGTGCCGTCGCCGGAGCACGGTGGAGCCGCCGTGTTGGAATTCTGATATTGGCCAAAAAGGGGCATTGGGTCTGATTTGGGGTTTTTGGGACACGTGTAGGTACCAGTAGTGCATTTCAGTTTCCCAGAAAAAATTCAGGGAATTTAGGGCAGCCCGTAGGCACATTGTAGAGCCGATTTCAGACCCCAAAACAACTAAGGATTTTTCACCCTATCTCCTATCACGACATTAAAGGTTAATAAATGATTAAACAGTATTTTATGAATTCATAAATATGTATAATTAATTAAGATTGCTAATGGGGCCCGAACCTGATGTATTTGTCGGTCTGTTTCTGTTTGATCTATTTTACAGTCTAAACGCAGCATGGTATCTGATGTATTTATTTTATAGTTTCGTATGCATGAATCACGGTTTCATCTATTCTGGTTTAAATTATTGGGAACCCGATGTTATGTTGTTTTGTTTGGTGTTCATTACTAGTTTACGGGTTTGTGTATAATTGGATAATTGAGACAAAAAAAAATGAAAAAAGATATGTGAATTCATAAATGGATAATGGCTACAGCCTTACTAGATATCCTGGGAGATGGTGGACGGACCAGGTCCATAGGGAACCCTACCGGGAACGTGGTCTCTCATATCGGACGGGGTATGGAGACTTTATATATTTTGGTGCCCATACCGGATGAGGTATGGGGACGACCCGTTTCACCCTCATACCAGATGGGGTATTGAGGTTCATGGTTTTTAGGCACCCATACCGGACGGGGTATGGGGACGGCCCTGGAATTAAGTTATTAATGTTAATGGTTCACGTGTAATGGGGACCCCCTATGGATCCCCATGTATACTAGTAGGCCGATAAAAAAAGAAATTTATTATCTGATTATTGAGGTACAAAAGTATAACATGTGTTACGTTACAAAGTGTATATGATTTTATGATGGTTATAATGTTATTGTTTTCATATGTTATTTTCACGAATCTCACCGAGGTAAGTGGACAGTAAAGATTTTTATTATTGATAAATGAATTTATCATGAATTATGCTCCATTGGTTGTTTTTATTGTTTTACAAACTTTTACTTCTGTGACAGTGAGATAGTGTGATGTCTTTACTGGGCTAGTGTAGCTCATTCCTTATTTAACCATTTCAGATCAGGAGGATTTGGTTTCCGAGCCCGTCCCGTAGGAAGACGGCGAGTAGACGTCTAGGGAATTCACAGTTTTATTTATAGCATTCATTACTAGTATTTACCTTAATTAGTTTTTTCTTTCACACGTTGAATACGGTTTTGGTTATTGTGTAAGGGATGTTTATCAGAATTTTTATTTCACTTCCGCACTTATAACTTTTTAATACATACATTTCATTTTTATTTCCGGAGCCGTTACACATTATGTCTGGATTATCTCCTATATTAGGTGCTGCAACTGGATCATCTAACTCAATCATGGCTAAATTGTTGAAGAGATCGCCAGGCATGGCCTCTGAGTCATCAACAGGATCTAACACCATCGCTAAATCATTCGATGGGTTATCCATCATTATTATGTTGGGATTGGAAGAGTATAGGTTACAGAAGCTATTCAGGGGAGGAGTTGAATTAATACTGCTGGAGACATATTCATGAGTTGGGTTACTGGGCATACTAGGCATGGGGAGAGTCGTCAAGGCCTTCATTGCTGGATGTGAGTAAAACATTCCGTCATCCCTTGGATAACCCTCAGCGAACTCGAGTTACCTTGTTCCTTCTTTAGCTTCTTTGCAATTAAGCAACATCATTCCACAAGCATATTGAACCTAAATTCCCTTTAATGTATTTTTCTTATTCATAGTTCATTTAATTATTTTCTACTAAATAAAAAATTTTGTTTTTATCATTGTCGTCAATATGATCTTATTCAACTATTAATATGTCATTCATTTAGTATAATGCTAGAGATAAGTTCAATTTTTTAATCATTAGTGAATTTTAATTAATTCCATCGATATAATTTATATGTTTATATATTTTTCATGTTCCAGTCTTCTTATTTAGCTTCTATCATTGGATGCATTTGTGAACAAATTACTACTTCTACTTGATTTAACCTGAGGAAGAAATTCATCCTTGGTGCATTAATGATCATGACAAATACAAAAATGAAAAGTATATGTAAGCGTATAAAACCTAATTCTCTAATATTGACTAAAACAAACTAGTGTTTAATAGTTAATTCTTTTTTACGCATTTCACTTACAACAATTCATATAATTATTTTTAAGTAAATCAACAAGTTAAGCTTTATCATGGTCAGTGAGGTGATCTTATCCAACGACTAATATGTCGTTCATTTTGTATAACGCTAAGGGAAAGTTAAAAATTTTTTTACCCTGAATAAATTTGATAGACTCATCGATATGATCTATTTTTTTTTATTTCAGTTTTTTTGTTTGGTTTCTATTATTAGATGTATTTATGAATAAATTAATGCATCAAGTTTGGTTCAATCTCAAAGAAGAAATTTATTATTGGCATGGAAATGATCATAATAGCCATGATCTTGGAACATAAAATGGAATGTTTATGAAGATTATATATAACCTAATGCTCTTACATCATGCACAAATTAACTAAAGTGAAATAGTTCAAGAGTTTTTGCCTTCTATGCATTTCCCCTATTAACATATCATTTAGTTGTTCTCAAGTAACTCAGAAGGTTCAATTTTATCATGGTCAGAAAGATGATCTTATCTGATAATGAATATGTCATGCACTCGGTATAACGCAAAGAGAGAAGTTAAATTTTATCATCATTATTGAATTTGACATAATCTCATTGATATAAAAAATGTGTCTATATATTTTTTATATTCCAGTCTTCTTGTTCTATTTTTGTCCTTGAACACAATCTGTTCTTCATGCATATCTGTTTGTGTTTCATAAGGCTTCAAAATGTAAACAATATATCATAATAGTATTGCCATGTTAATGCATCATTCAGCAACCCCTTCCTATTTCTCTTTCACTTTTTTTCTTTTATTTAATTTTAAATCTATTAGCATGTTTTTCTTTATCAGCATCCTTTGTTGCTCTCAAGATTAATTTTGCTCTCAAAGTTGAAAACAATTTAGTTTTAGTGTACAAAATTAGTCTAAAAATATCTTAATAGTAAATATTTTTAAATAAAATTTTAAAACTGAATATCACGCTTATATGCTTTGACTAAGCATCTGGTAAGAAATATGTTTTCTTTAGCAGAAAAATGTCATTCTTTGTTATAAGTTTTTTAAAAAGTAGTAAGTGAAGTATACAAAAATAAGATCATCGTTAATCAAAATTGAATGGGTCACATGAACTGGGAAGTAGAGTCAAATTCTCCCATATAAATATCTATTGGAAACTCTAGTTTAGAAATATGTTCAGACTGAAAACAGGAGAGATTATTGGTTTTGGATTGAAAGATCTTTTAGCTTCTGTGGATCGACTTCTGATGGTGCTCAGGTGAATCTTCTCAGCATGCTTAGCCACATTCTTCTTCAGCTCATCGAGAGAGGCCTTCAATTGTTGAAGTGTGTTAAGCTCATATCTTCTTTGGGAGCCATCCACCAACATTGATTCTCATTTGTCTTTTTCATATGATTAAGCTCCTCGCCTCACTTCATCTCGATTTTGAGTTGGTTCAGAACCTGTACATGTAGTAGAATTAATATATATTATTTATATTGAAAATGTTTTATTAGAAAGGAAAGAAATTAAAATAACCTGAGTGTTGAGCTTACAGACACTAGCGTTCCAATGAGCCTCAATGAGTTTCATGGTTCCAGAAGTAGCTTGTGGTGGATTACCACTAACAACACGTTCCAACACAGTCTCGACACAAGGATGACCAAAAGAAAAGATCTTTCGACCGGGTGAGAAGATGATAATAGCAATCTCAGCCCCACATAGAGTGCTCAATTCACTCACCTTCTTGAAAAGTCCGGCTCGGTGTTTGGAGAAAGTGACTTGGAGATTGGTTTCATTATTCATCTTCACCATCTCAACCTTTTGTCGTCCCTTACTCTTTCTCGCCATGGTTACAAGTATTGAATATGTGCAGAGAGAAATTAAAAGAGAGACTAATGGAGAGAAATAATTGTATTGAAAGAGGGGGAAATGAGTGATATTTATAGGAGATTTAAATCAAGGTTGTGAATTAATAAATTTTAGGTAGACATCCTGTACATATTTTCCTGTATTAATAAGTTACATCTTTAGAGTTACTTGAGAATCTCCTCTTTATTGAAATATATGGTAGGAAAAATCTGGACAATTAAAGTTAAATTTTAGCTGTACTTTTATACAATTTGCAAAATCATCATTGTTTTAACATTTATAGATACATAGCTAGATTGATATATATGAAAATTGAACCTTCTTGAAAATTTTACATTTTTTATGTTATATATATGTATATATATTCTCGATATTAATTTGGGATTGAGAAGGTAAGAGAGCTACTTTTAATTTTATTTATTTGTCTCTTGTTAGGAGACACAATGAATCAAATTGCAATGATAAAAATCCTTAGATTATTTATGTTCAAGTAATAAAAAATATAAAAATGTATTATAGGATATATTAAAATTTAAAAACTATGATGAATTCTTTATAAAATTAATTGATCATTAGTACAATGGATAATTTTAATTTATTTATAAGCATTAAGGAAGGATCTAAGTTGCAAATTATAACTATCAATTGGATCACATTTAAAATTCAAAGTTTTAAATAATTAAATTTAATTATGACAATCGATTAACCTTCATAACAATAAAGTTTTAATTCAATTGCATGTGATATTCAATTAAACTTGAAATTCATATAATTCATGTTGAGTACTTTCAAAAGGTGACTTACAATTATTTTATTTGTATAACACTTCAACTTGAGCCTGCTTAAACAAAATGCAATTTCTTTGATCCATTTGATTGAAAATTTCTATTTAATATTGTTTGGTCCTAATATAAAATCTTCCTTGTTTATATACTTAACATTTAATGAAGATATTATCCCTACTTGGGATATATATTCCCAAATATATAGATATGTTTACATACTTAGATAAGCACTGTCAATAGAATATTTTCCCTGAATATTACCTAATTTCATTATTGATTTATTTTAAGATTAATTACCCACATCAAACTAGTAGAATTTTCTTAGCTAGCATTTATGTGTTGATAGAATTTTCTTAGCTGGAGCTTATGCATGTGACCCATATAGGCTTAGTATTAAATTATTTATAGGACTTTAACCAATATAATTGATTTATTATGACTAAACACTTTTCATTCATCATCATGATTTATTTATCGCATCAATAAATTGGATGAACATACATGTCACCAAGAGTGTCATCTAATAAATATATCACAACTCTTATAATGTATAAAAATTTGATCATGAAATTTAGTAGTTTGTCCATGGATGCATAATTACCATATAGTTAATTCATTTCATTTATTGTATTTCAGATTAACTCAAGATATGACTTATACCAACCATTATTTAATTGAATAGTTGGTATATTTCTTCTTGTACAAGAGATTGTACTTCCTTGTATGTTTTTAATTAAATGTTATTTATATTATTTTAAAATTAATGTGTGTATATTAGTTAATTAACCAACACAAGTATTTATTCAAAAATAGACTCATAATTGTCAATGTAAAAACTAACTCACATAAATATGACATAATTGAAGGTATTCCCAAAGATGATCATGTTCTTATCAAAGCACAATTATGTGACTTTAATATCTTATTTTCTTACATTTAGACGTTACCTTTGTCTTGAGTTAATGAGTTAAAAATAAATTACTTAAAATATTTTCTCCTATTACAACTCTTAGAATAGCAGGTTGATTTCAACTTGAAAATAAAAATAAATGCATAGATAAAAAAATTATGTTATTATTGCACTCTTTAAAAGTACCACAACCCTACAATGAAAAGGAACATGACGAAAACCCAAATGCTAAGGCACCAGATATCTAACATAAATAAAATAAAACAAACTGCAAGTATTGTGTTTACAACTCTTTTTAATTTCATCCTTCCGAGACTTAGTCAAGAAATGAACCTAGTAGAATGTTATTTATCCATTTCCTTGAATATATATATTATATCTAACATAAATAAAATAAAACAAACTGCAAGTATTGTGTTTACAACTCTTTTTAATTTCATCCTTCCGAGACTTAGTCAAGAAATGAACCTAGTAGAATCTTATTTATCCATTTCCTTGAATATATATATTGGGATTATTGTTGAACACATTAGGTATCGTGTTTGGATCGTTTAATACATGAGGCATCATGTTTAATTTGTTCTGAATTATAATCATCTTAGCTTCTTTAGTAACTTTCTTCTTCAATTCCTCAAGAGATGTCTTTAAATGCTCAAGTTGTGAGAAACGCATTTCCTGTTTTGGACCCATCCACCAACACTTACTCTCACATATTTTTTGTATTTCCTTAAGCTCTGCATTGCGATTTTTCTCGATTTCCAGTTGATTCATGACCTATTTTCATATGTTTCAAATAATAAGTACAATTCAGTATAAGTTTTAATCGAACAAAAGGAAGATCAAATAAGTATAATAAGTTTTAAAATCTAAATATGGTCTACTCAAACCTGTGTGAGGATCATATTGAGCTCATGTATCCTTGAGTTGCGGTGAACCTCAATGAGTGTCATGGCTCTTGAAGTATCTCGTGGAGGATTACCACAAATGAAATCTTCAATCACTTTTTCAACACAAGGATGACTAAAAGAAAAAGCCTTTTTACTGGGGGGAAAAATAATAATTGCAATGTCGATGCCACGAAGAGTGGACCATTCACTAGCTTTCTTAGAAAAACTAGCTCTTCATTTTGAGAAAGTTATTTGGAGGTTGATTTCGTTACTCATCTTTATCATCTCAATCTTTTGACGACCCTTGCTCTTCCTATCCATCTAAAAGTGAAAGAAAAAGATGATGTGAGAAGGAGATAAAAAAGTTGGCTTATAATTTACTAGGAAGTGATAAAAAATGGGTAGTATTTATAAGAGTTATCAGACTGACATTATTATTTTCCACAATGCAACATCAAACATTATTTAAATGGATTTTCTATATAAAATTTTTTAATCTTTAATTACTTGCTCATTGGGATTCATCAAATTGGAAAATTTCATTTTGTACTATCCAACAAATAATTTTATTTATAAATTTATTAGCTTTAATTACTTATTCATTTGGAGTCAACAGATTAGACATTATCATTTTGCACTATCGAATATATAACTTGATTTAGATTAATTTTCTATATAAATTTCTTAGCTTTAATTACTTATTTATTTAGAGCAGATTGCATATTATCATTTTGCACCATCTAATATATAAACTGATTTATAAATTTCTTAACTTTAATTACTTATTTATTGGGTAATTATTAGGATGGACATTATTATTTTGCACTATTCAATATATAACTTAATTGAGAGAGATTTTCTATATAAATTTCTTAGCTTTAATTACTTTCTCATTTGGAGTTACTAGGTTGGGGATCTTCATCTTTCACCATCAAACATATAATCTGATTTAGATGGATTTTCTATATAAATTTTTTAATTTAATTACTTACTCATTTAGAGTCATTAAGTTAGACATTATTATTTTGCACTATCTAATATATAACTTGATTTAGGTGAATTTTCTGTATAAAATTTTTAACTTTAATTACGTACTCATTTGGAATCATCAGGTGGTGCATTATCATTTTACACTATTCAACCTATAGTTTGAGTTAGGTAGATTTTTTATAAAAATTTCATAGATTTAATTACTTACTCATTTGGTGTTACCAGATTGACTTTATCATTTTGCACTATCCAACATATTGCTTGAGTCAGGTGAATTTTTTTATAATTTTTTTTAACTTTAATTACTTACTCATTCGGAGTCACTAAGTTTGATATTATCATTTTGCACTATCCAATACATAATTTAATTTAGATGAATGTTCTATACAAATTTATTAGCTTTAATAACTTACTCGTTTGGAATCATCAAGTTGGACATTATCACTTTTCACTATCCAACACAACTTGATTTAGGCATTTTTATTTTATATTGTTCAATATATAATTTGATTTAGACAAATTTTCTTTGTAAATATATCGACTTTAAAAACTTATTTGTTTGGAATGCTTTACAATCACCTCATTGAAATATATAGTAAAAAAATCTTGAAGATTGATATAATATTACCTTTAAGTTATACGAATTTACCATTTCCAAATCATCATTGCTTGTAGAACGAAATGAGATGAATTTTCTTAGAAATAGTTATTAGTAGCCACATTTTCTTGCTTATCAAATTTGACAAGATAATGAAAATAGTGTCAACATCTATGCACAGATAAATAAAATTTGAATAACACATCCCAATACACAGTATTATATAATTACCAACCTATTTCCTAATATATATATATATATATATATCAAATTTGGGAAGATAATGAAATTATTTTTCATGTTTCTCCATACATGAATAATAAGTTAGTCAACAAAAAATTACAAACTTGGTAATAAAATTATAGCGAATATTGCGAAACCACCATGAAGTTTAACATGTTATATATAAAAATAAATTAAAATTATAAGAAAATCCCAAAGTACTGAATATTATACAATTACCAACCTACTAATTATTTTAATAACCATTGTCCTCTTTTCAACCTTAGCCATAAAAGGTTTTAATGAAGCTTCCATATAAAACTATTCTAATTTGGCTCAATTCTTCACTATGGTGAGTTGTCTTTCATAGTATGTTATCTTTCTTGACGCTTTTGATGATTGCTCATCTTCTCTATTAATTTTCTCTACATTGATTCAAAATTATTTATACTCTATTTGAATCCATAGGGACTTAAAAGTGTTTCCATGAGAGATATTTTAGTCAGAATTTTAGGATTATCTAACTAAATTTTTATGTTTGCTTTTTCATTAATCTCGTCATTCTTCCCAATAAATTTGCAACAAAA